ACTCAAGGGGTGCTAAGTTAGTGTCAATTAACGCTGGTGACTAGGGCCTAGAGAAGGGAAGGATGACTCCCGGGTTTCTGGCCTGGGAATCAGGTGACCAGTGGTCAGTTTCATGGCACTCTTATTCCCAGGCAGCTCTGTGCTAGCAGCTGACATGAATTGGCCCACTTAATCCTTGTGACAACTCCGTGAGATGGCATCATTCTCATCTCCATTTGTGGAGTCAGAACCTGAGGCAAGAGCGTTTAAGTGGGTTACACAGGGTATCACAGCTGGCAAGTGACAGAATCAGGATCTACACCCAGGCGGTCTGACTACAGACTCCAGGTGCTTCTTCAACGCTGGATGGCAATGTGCTGCCTGGGTAGATGGGCCTGCGATGGCGCTGCGGGCTCTGTCTGCCGTGTGCTCCCCACAATCTGACGTTATGCTTCCACAGGCTGCCTCCCACTCCCCACAGCCCCCAACCCAGCGAGGAAGGAATGGGAACTAGGGTGACCCAAAGCAAAGGTCGCCATGTTCACCCAAGGCCAGACTGGGGGCGGGTGTGACAGACTCGAGTCTGTAGTTCCAACACCCGTTGCCCCGTAATCTAGATGGAAAATGCAGCCGAACTCCTGGTGCCTGCTAAGAAAGCCAAGCAGGGATGCCCTGGCACAGACCCCACCCAGCAGCACCAGGACCTGAAACACCCGGGGAACAGATGACATCAGCTCACTGCCGCAGCAGAGCCCAGAGGCCACCCTGCAGACACAGAGCGTCTCACTGTGTGAGAAGCTGATTCCTACTTTATTCTTTTTGATGCTATTGTAAACAGAATTGTGGATTCCATTTTTAGATTGTTCATTGGTCATGTATAGAAACAAATCTGATTTTTATGCTGTTAGTACCCATTTTAAATCCTTGTTTAGTTGTTCAGTTTATTCAGAATATAGCAGGGGAAAAGAGGTGCTATTGATGAAGACTCTTTCAGCACCCAGCAGTTGATAGACACACTGGCAGCTAAAGGTGTGGAACAAAGATCAGACGGGAAGAGAGTACTCACGGATGGAGAGAGCTTTGGGAGCACCTGTGACTAGGGGCAGTCAGAAGGTGCCCACGTGTGCACCTGGCAGCCACAGTCAGGGTGGGGGGGAAGCCCTACTCTCAATTATTAATTGCTACACAAAAATCAGCCATACAGCTTAAAGGCTTAGAACACCAACTAGACTCGCTCAGCTCTTTCCTGTCATGTTCCAAGCTGCTGCCCGACATTTGACAAAATAATTTCCCTCAGGATAAATCTAGAGCCTGTCAAATTAGATTTCTTTATGGTTTTAGCCCCATGCTTTAAGTGGGGGTGTCCAATCTGCACCCCACAAGCTGTATGCTGATTTCTTTTTTGTTATTGTTACAGTTTGGCCAGGGCTGGACTCAAACCGGCCACCCTCAGTATATGGGGCCGGCGCCCTACCCACTGAGCCACAGGTGCTGCCCTGCTTGTTGATTTCTTTCTTT